CTCCGTATATATAATAACCACACAATTTCGACCAAATTAAGCCACCCACCATAAAAATTTCGTAACAACTACATATGGCGAAAAACTTGGGGATTAGGGAACTTGGGAATGGAATGTACATTTTTATCTACTAATTAAAACACAAAAAGAAGAAGAAGACAAGAACAAGAACAACATACCTGTAGACTTTAGGAGAAGAGTAAGAGAAAACTTGAGATAATTTTTTGAGAGAGAAGAGGAAGAAGACACGGCAGAAATAGCATTTTAGAAGGAGAGAGCAGCGTGTGTATTTTCTGATTTTGTGAAGTTGGAGTTTGGGTGGTTTTGGGTTATGTTAAATTGGGTTAGGATGGGTATGGGTATTGGGATAGGTCCTAGTGTTAGTGTAAATGGGTGTTTGGGTTGGGTTAAATGGGTATGGGTTATTAAATAAAAAACAAAGAAAAAAAAAAGAATAAAAAAAATTACCTGGATGACCCCCAGCCCGGCGCCTCGCGCTATGCCTGGCGCTGGGGGTTTTGAAGCTACTGTTTTCAGCGCCCCAGGTAGCGCTAGGCGCTGGCCTGGGATCTGTTTCGCAATTTTTTTTTATAACATCCCGATCCTCCGAGCCTTTTATATACTCAATTAACACGTCCTACCCCATTATATCTATATTTTCTATATCTGCAAAGAAAATGCAAACTATATCTATTCTAACTAAAAAAATTAAGAAGTTAAACTAGGAAAGTAATAAAAATTGGGTTGCCTCCCAACAAGCGCCTGATTAACGTCGCGGCACGACGTAGAGTCTCGCTTACTCATCAGCGAGTACAATCTTGGTCTTCTCACGATTAATTATTCCTCCCCAATAGTGCTTGACTCTATATCCATTCACCAAAAAATTTCTTTCCCCGTGTAAAGCTCGCAACTCAATTGCACCATAAGAAGTGAGTCGCACCACCTCAAACGGGCTTGACCATCTTGATTTTAGCTTCCCAGGAAATAGCCTTAGTCTAGAATTGAATAATAATACCTGTTGGTCTGGCTCGAAGTGACGCGGCTTGATGTGCTTGTCATGCCATCTTTTTGTCTTTTCTTTGTAAAGCTTAGCATTTTCATAAGAGTGCAGCCTGAACTCATCTAACTCATTCAACTGCATAAGTCTTTTCTCGCCCGCGGCTTCAAGGTCCATGTTTAGCTTCTTAATGGCCCAATATGCTTTGTATTCAAGTTCAACGCGCAAGTGACATGCCTTCCCATAAACTAACTTGTACGCTGACGCCCCAATTGGCGTTTTATATGCAGTTCTATACGCCCATAAGGCATCATCTAACTTTGCGGCCCAATCCTTCCTATTCACAATCACCGTCTTCTCTAATATTTGCTTTATTTTTCCTGTTCGACACCTTAGCTTGCCCACTTTTTTGAGGATGATATGTGGTAGCAACTCTACGGCGGACTCCATATTTAGCTAGAATATTATTCAACAACCGATTACAAAAATGAGTCCCCTCATCACTAATTAAGGCGCGTGGAGTCCCAAACCTCGAAAATATGTTCTTTTTCACAAACGCTGCTACCACCATGGCATCATTTGTTGGCAATGCAATTGCCTCCACTCATTTTGACACGTAGTCAACTACTAGCAAAATGTATTTGTTTCCTCTGGATGATGGGAATGGTCCCATGAAATCTATCCCCCACACATCAAAAATTTCAACTTCCAAGATGTTATTCAAAGGCAACTCATGCCTCCTTGTGATTGTTCCTGTTCTCTGACATTGGTCACATTTCATAACAAATGCATGGGCATCCTTGAATAAAGTTGGCCAAAAGAAATCGGATTGCAATACCTTTGCAGCTGTTCTATTCCCTCCATGATGGCCCCCATAAGGTGATGCATGACAATCATACAATACTAAGGGTGTGTTTGGTATAAAGGAAAATATTTTCCAAAAAAATATTTTCTTGGAAAACAAGTAGTATTCTTATTCATTTTCTAGTGATTGATACGCAAATCAAGAAAAATATTTTCTCAAGAATATTCATAAATAATTTTGATACAATAAACATGAAGCCATAAACTTTCGAACCGACAACCTTCCGAACCCACAAATTTCATAAACTTCTGAACCGTAAAATTTTCGAAACCGCGAAATTTCGAACCCGTAAACTTTATAATTTCTAAACCTGTAAACTTCGAAACACATAAACCTCCGAACTCATAACTTTTCAACTTGTAAAATTTTGAACTTGTAAACCGAAAGACGAAAAAAGTAAAACTGAAAATTCATAAAAAAAAAAAACTTCGGGGGAAGGGGGGGGTTGGGGTGCAGAAAATAAACAAAAATTTAGAAAATTACAAAAAAAGTAATAAAAAAATTAGTGCGGGAGTGGGGGCAGGTGGGGGGCAGAAAAAAAATAGAAATTTGAAATTACAAAAAATATTTTTTTTACCAAAAAAAAACGTTAAATTTTTTTGGGGGCTGGAGTGGGGTGGGGCAGGGGGGCGCGGGGGAGGGGGGAGGGTGGGTTTGTGGTGCAGAAAAAAACAGAAATTTGAAAAATTACAAAAAAAACGGGTGGGGGGGTGGGCCGCGCGGTTGACAAGAAAAAAACCGTTTTGAAGAGAGGGCATAGGGTGGGGTTAGGTGGGTGGGTGGGTGTGGGGTGGGTTGGTGAGGGTAAAGAATAGGGTGGGGAAGCTTGAGAAGGAGTTTTGGTAAATGTTTTCCCTTCTCTTGATAGGGAAAACATTTTCCTCTAATTGGAGGAAAATTAGTTGATGAGGAAAATATTTTCCAAAACATTTAAGCCAACCAAACATGAGAAAATTGGAAAACATTTTCCGGAAAATATTTTCCTTCATACCAAACACACCCTAATTCTACCTCCTTTTCTGGAATGCATCTCTCATCAATTGATCAGCACATTGCTCATACAAATATGGCTCATCCCAATAGTAGAAGTCCACATCATGTAGAAACCTCTTTCTAGCTTCAGATTCAATTTCAGGAGGAAGTACCCCACTCAGAAAATAATTCACATAGTCTGCGTACCATGGGGAGGGTCTTGGGTGATAGCAAAAAGTTGCTCATCAGGAAATACTTCTTTAATTTGGCCACCCTCCTCCACGTGATCGTGATTTTCCAGCCTTGATAGATAGTCAGCTACGTAGTTCTCTGTCCCCTTTCGATCTCGTATTTCTACATCAAATTCCTGCAGCAACAAAACCCAGTGCATCAATCTAGCCTTAGATTCCTTTTCTGTTAATAGATACCTGATTGCTGCATGATCGGTATGGACTATGACTTTCGTTCCCATCAAGTATGCCCGAAATTTTTCAAAGGCCCACACAACAGCTAACAACTCCTTTTCAGTGGTGGTATAATTCAGCTGTGCATCATCAAGAGTCTTACTCGCATAGTAGATGGAATAAAACACCTTGTCTTTCCTCTAGCCTAGCGCTGCCCCAATAGCATGGTCACTCGCATCACACATAAGTTCAAATGGTGAGGACCAATCTGGTGCCACAATAATGGGAGCAGACACCAACTTCTTTTTTAGTTCTTCAAAAGCCTTGAGGCAGGTGTCATCAAAATTGAAAGTTACATCTTTTTTAAGCAACCTGCACAAAGTAGTAGCAACTTTAGAAAAATCTTTAATAAAGCGCCGATAGAATCCTGCGTGTCCTAAGAAACTCCGGGCACCCTTCACAGAAATAGGTGGAGGTAATTTTTCAACCGCCTCGACCTTCGCCTTATCAACTTCAATGCCGCTCCTAGACACTCTGTGACCCAACACGATGCCTTCTTGCACCATAAAATGATACTTTTCCCAATTAAGTACCACATTTGTTTCTTCATAACGGGCCATCGCCTTGCTTAAATTCCTCAAACAATCATCATAAGAAGACCCAAAGACTGAAAAATCATCCATAAACACTTCCACAAATTTTTCCACCATATCGGTGAAAATAGCCATCATGCATCTCTGAAAAGTGGCTGGTGCATTACAAAGACCAGACGGCATTCGCTTGAAGGCAAAAGTTCCATAAGGACAAGTAAAAATGGTCTTCTCCTAGTCCTCTGGGCATATACAATCTGATTGTATCCCAAATAACCATCAAGGAAGCAATAGTATTCATGCCCGGCTAATCTGTCCAACATCTGGTCAATGAATGGAAGTGGAAAGTGGTCCTTGCGGGTTGCTTAGTTGAGCCTTCTATAATCAATGCACACTCTCCACCCCGTCACAGTGCAAGTAAGAATTAGCTCATTTTTTTCATTCTCAATCACAGTCATCCCCCCCTTTTGGGCACATTTTGAACTGGGTTTACCCAGTTGCTGTCAAAAATAGGAAAGATGATACCTGCATCGAGCAAATTGATTACTTCCTTCTTCACGACCTCTTTCATAATGCGATTTAACCTCTTTTTTTGCTCAACACTAGGGCGATGTCCATCTTCCAAGAAGATTTTATGCATGCGACGGACTGATTCCCTTGATGTCAGGAATAGTCCACCCATTAGCCTTTTTATGCGCGCGGAGTACTCTGAGCAATTTTTCTTCTTGAGTGTTAGTCAAGCTGGATGAGATAATCACGGGCAATGTCTCAGCGTTCCCCAAATAAGAATAATGCAGGTGCGCTGGTAGAGGCTTATGTTCTAGCTTTGGAGCTTCTTCAATAGATGGCTTAGGAGGGGTCAGAGTGACAGGCCTGTCCAACTCCTCAAATTTTCCGAACCCATGGACATAATTGCAGGACATATCAAGTACTTGCTCAATTTCTCCCATCATTTCATCTTCACTATCTTATTCATCCCCAATCAAAGCTCGTTCAAGAGGATCTACAGGGCTCATATAGGGCACTAATGATGTAGCATTACTTCCCACCACAGAAATCATGGATAGCTCTTCATAGTGGGCTGGCAACCTGAGTGCTTTATACACATTGAATACCTGCACTCGATCACCTAATCTCATCGTCATCTTTCCCTCGCGAACATCGATAATAGCTCAGCCTGTGGCCAAGAATGGACGCCCCGAAATAAATAGGGCTTCCTGATCAGGCTCGTAGTCCAAGATAATGAAATCAGTAGGGAATATAAAAGAACCCACTTGAACTAACACATCTTCAATCACTCCTTCAAAATGAGCAAGGGAGTGATCATCCAACTGTAGGATTACCGTTGTTGGGCGTGGCGCACCCAACCCCAACTGTCTAAATACAGATAGTGGCATCAAATTGATGCTCGCTCCAAGATCACATAAAGCTCGACCGACTGCATGCTTACCAATCGAGATTTGGATAGTGAAACTACCTGGATCCTTTAATTTATGAGGTAGCTTGCTTCGAATTCTTGAGCTATATTCCTTAGTGAGTGCCACAGTCTCGAATTCAGTCAGCCTCATTTTATTTGCCACTATGTCCTTGATGTATTTAGCATATTTAGGAACTTCTTACAAGATGTCTACCAATGGAATGTTAATTTGCACATACTTCAAAATATCAAGAAACTTTGTATACGCGGCACTATCCTTCACTTTCTGCAATCTTTAAGGGAACGGAGGTGGTGTCCTTGCAACCAATGGTGGGGGTTGCTCAGCCACCACCTCTTCATCTGGCTTTTCTGACTCGTTTGACTTTTCTAATTTTGATTCTACAGTGGCTGGCCTCTCATTAAAAGTCACATGTTTTCTCTTTTTCGACTGGACTTCTTCTTAATTGTCTCCCATTCCTCAATGACACGGCATTAAGGGATGCCTTAGGATTAGCTTCAGTGTCACCTGGAAGAGCTCCAACTGGTCTAGTATTTTGGGCACTGGCAAGTTGTCCCACTTGGCGCTCTAAATTTCTCATTGTTGCGGCTTGGGCTTGCTGCTCAGCCATAAATTTCTGAGCGAGGGCTTGTTGTTCAGCCATCACTTTTTTCATCATGTCCTCAAGGTGACTTGTTGGACTCGCTTGTTGTTCAGCCTGAGGTGGTCTATATTGTTGTTGAGGTGCTTGAGGCCGATATTGATTCTGAGTACCTTGGTTTCCACCCCAAGAGAAGTTTGGGTGGTTCCTCCAGTTGGGATTGTAAGTGTTCCCATATTGGTTTGTTTGGCCCCTATTTGCATTACCCACAAAGAAGACAGACTCTGGATTAACGGAGCATAAGTCGCTCGTGTGACCCTCTCCATATATTTCACAAAATACTTGAACCTGTTGTACCGGTTGTGCTTGTTGCATGTTGATAACCAAAGTCATCTGATTGACTTGGTTAGTCAATGTAGAAATCTACGGTGATAATGCCGAGACAACATCTAACTCAAGAACCCCTGCAGACTTTTGCACTGTGTGTCTGCCCGTCTCTCCTTGCCAATCCGGATTGCTTTCTGAAAATTTGGTTAATAATGCATATATCTCGTCAAAGCTTTTCTCCAACACTTGACCTCCACCTGCAGCATCTACCACAATCTTTGTTTCAGGATGTAGACCTTCTATGAAAGTGTGAGCTAATACTTCTCTTGTTTGATTGTGATGAGTACAGTCTCTGATTAGCCCCTTGAACCTCTCCCAAGCCGAGTATAGAGACTCCCCTTCTTTCTGTTTGAAGGCGACTATCTCACTTATGATCTTTGCAGTTTTGCCTGACGGAAAGAACCTTGCCAGAAGTTCAGGATATGCTGTTGTGGATCCTCGTGTGGAAGACCCATAAAGTGCCCATTCGCATGAAGGAGCTGGATCACGCTTTGTTTTGGCTCAAAGTGCCCAGTGATTCTGGGCTTCACAATGCTGGAGGTGACATTAGCAATGCTGGGCATTACCACCTCCTGAACAGCCATATGTTCCTCTGCCATGTTCACTGGAAATTGAACGAGTGCCTGAATATTATTTGTATCCCTTGCTTCCCTCAACCTCATGTGGAATGTTCTCTCAGTTTTAGGGTCAAACCCTTGAAGTCTGTCCTGGCTTCTGACCCTACGCATTGAATCAAAGTTCCTGAGATCAGAGCAACAATCAAGTAACGTTAGACTTGATGAAATAAACAATTAAAGCAAAAACTAGAAAGTAGTTAATATTAAGTCCCCGGCAACGGTGCCAAAAATTTGTTGCTCCCAAACGCACACGCAAGTATACGTGGTCGTACAAGTAATAAAATGATAAGTCAAGTGTCGAACCCACAGAGACTTGTATCAACTACCCACTAAAATCACCAAGATTGTTATCCAGTCAAGCCAAAATCAAGTTCAAGAATGTGATTATACTAAACTATAATTCTAATTTATAACTAACTTATCAAGCAATAAATTGGTTGTTGTGTATTCAGTAGAGACAAATATTCCAGGGTTATGATCGATTCACCAATCCTATTGTGTTATAGTTAACTCTCCCTTTCATACAATTCACTCATTGTTCCTAATTAATCGATAATTGCTCTCATAGCCTTCTCCTGAAGTACTACTCGCCTATTCAAAATAGATTAACCCCTATATTCCTATGAAATCAATCTATTAAGAACGCATTAAGATTACGATTTTTAATTAAGCGCGGTGACTAGGTATATTTCTATCCTAACCACAAATCCCCCCCCCCCCCCTAAGAGTTAAGATCGTGCTCTCTTCAATTCTTCTCTAATGTAAACACGGCTTTCCCAAGCATAGCATAGATAGTAAATAGAACCTAATTGCTGGCCAGACAATTAAGCAATTAATCACAGAATTGAAGAAACAACCATATAGTAGTGAATTATAATCAAGGTTAAGTCAACGTTAAACAACAATATTCATGGCTAAATCACAACCCCAGAACAATGGGTTTTTAGCCACTCATGATAATAGCAAACAACTTCATAAGTGTTGAATAATTGAAAATACTTGTAAAAGATGAAGAAAACTGAGATATCTCCGCTTCCGAATGTTTCTCGTGTGTATTTTCCCTCAAAAGTGGCGTCACCCCCTCACCAATAAGTTTTGTCTTGCTTTTATACGTGTTGGGTAGGTCTAGGGCCGAAATAACTATGTCCCGGGCGAATTTGGAGAAGGTTCACGCCAACGGCGCACTGCCCAGCGCCGGGCGCCCTCCATGGCGCTGCCAATTTAAGGTTTCTGTTTCTGGCTCCACAGGTAGCGTTAGGCACCGCCTGTGGCACTGCAATGTCCCTTTTTCATGCTTTCGTCCGTTTTGGCTCTAATTTCGCATATTTCGCCCCCAATTGCTCCCGGATCATTCCTTCACATAAAAATATCTCAAATTAATATAAATCAAAAAATTTTACATCCTAAGTCTACGAAACAAAAGTAAAATATGAGGCGATATACACACAAATATATATATATATATATATATATATATATATATATATATATATATATATATATATATATTTATATATATATA